AAAGGCTCTTAGCAAGTGACTAAGATGACATAAAGGCTCTTAGCAAGTGGCTAAGATGACATAAATGCTCTTAGCAAGTGACTAAGATGACATAAAGGCTCTTAGCAAGTGGCTAAGATGACATAAATGCTCTTAGCAAGTGACTAAGATGACATAAAGGCTCTTAGCAAGTGACTAAAATGACATAAAGGCTGTTAGCAAGTGACTAAGATGACATAAAGGCTCTTAGCAAGTGACTAAGTTGACATAAAGGCTCTTAGCAAGTGACTAAGTTGACATTAACACAAATTAAATTTCTCGATCATTTTTCTCATTCTAAACGAGAAACATCAAAGCTGCTGAATATTATTAAATACATCCAGGATTTTACATTTTAATAGGAACTAATCCTTTTCTATGAGTTTTGTCTATCATATAAAATAATCGGTGAAAGGTGTCATAAATTTTTATTAACTTGTAATTTTATATTACTGTAACTTAACCTCAATATTTTTAACACACTTATAACTACATCTACGATTCTCTGCATGTTGGAATATTATCTTCCTTTTTGTCTTTGGGGCACTCTTAACCAGCTGGGCAGGAGAAGGACAACCTTAACAACACTGTAGTTGTAGGTATTTACTCATAGAAACACCTTTTACTACAGCTCTTGAAGAGGCCAAAGATGTCTTAGGTGACACACCCACTGTATACCAGTACTCTTATTTTGACCGTTTGAAACACGCTACTTCAACCAAGTCACCTTTTCACTGGAGCCACAGTAACGAAAGAACACGACATGGCCATGGTAAGAGAGTAACTGTGAGTGGAACATTTAGAAGAACACATACTAGTGGTTCAGGAAATGTTGACCAATTGCTTCCAGATGCGATTTCCAAAGGACTTACAGATGGACAAAATTCTGGTGAGACCCAGGTTAATAGGAATGTTTTTCACAACAGAGACACGTCAAGTGAACAAGATTTCACAGAAAATTCTAGAAAGAGTTACACTCACAGAAACTCTGGAAAATACAGATCTAGAAAAGAAGAAAAAACGTCTTCTTTCGTTTATCACAGAAGTGGTTCTTCTTTCGGAACTTCGCGCAATAATACAGACTATGAAAGGTCCAATGGAAGCTCAAGGGTTTCTCGAATTTACTACAATAGGCACTCTTTTGGAGGTAGAATTACGGGATTGGATAACAGTTCTGGAGTCTTCAGCCACTCAACTCATTCTTCAACCAGACCATCAAGATTTACAAACACTTCATTTGTGTCAAGAAGTTCTGATTTTCACAGACATGATGAGCGAGGAAGAGATGAATCTGATGAAAACCTTCACCCGTTTGGTAGGATCATGTATTTGTGCTTTTTTAATATTTTTATTTTTACAGTAATCTATATATTAACTATAACGGGACATAAATTAGACCCGTTCACAACATGTTACCATTAGCTTTATTCAACTTAACTACTTGTTATGAGGTGCAGTATACAATGGTCCGAATCAATAGACTTAGAGAAGAATATAACGTATATATTGTTCTTCCAATACCTACTGTCACTTAACTTTAAGCTAGGTTGTCTATACAAAGGATTGCATTAAATAGGCTTAAAGAACAGTCAACTGTGTATATACTCTGTTTTTCCAGTCTTTGCTGTTATTCAGTTTTAAACTAGGTTAAGTATACAAAGGATTGAATTAATAGCTTTAGAGGAGAATAAAATAGCATGCCTTGTTCTTCCAATATCTGCTGTAACTTAGGTTCAAACTACACAATAAAATGTTATTATAAATTGAAACACATGTTGTAAGAAAATTATAAGGCATTCCTTCCACTTTTTTCCGTTTCGTTTTTCGATTTTTAAGATAAAATGTTTACAGTCAAGGTTAGTAGAGGTCTTAACCTAAAAATGCTAAATTTATGAGCTATGTTGAAAAATTTAGTGATAAGTAAAATGTGTTTGCCTTTACCAGTAAATACATGATTTTCATCGGGAGAAGTTTTACATCTTCTAAATTATGCACCTAGAAATAATTACATGTTATGAGGAAAATGTTATAGATTTTCAGTTTAGGTGTAGCAAATACTTTTATCAATTGGAGCAAAGCTATTTCAGTGTTTCAAATGTTCAGTGCTGTGTTTAGTAGCTATGTGGCCCTCCCGCAAAAATTTCCTGCAGCCCCCTGATGGAGGGGAGAGTCAAAATCAAGGGATGATGGACCCGCCTTCAAAGTTAAGCAATTACAGTCAAGATAATACTATAACTTTTAATACAGTATGCATATCTTCACCAAATTTTGCACATTATCAGGAAACATCACAAGGCTTTTGTATAGAAAATATCAGATTTTTGTATCAAGTTTTAAGATTTTTTAAGTAATGATTTTCTCATGCATATTTTCTTTTCAAATGGTGACTGTTATTTCAAATATTGTTTATCTCTGTATGGGCTTAGTCGATTTGACAGACCTCGTAACCACCATAAGAAATGTACTCAAACACACCCAGAATTATTTATTTTCTTTATTTGGACACTCAGTGTTTTGCTTTACAGATTCTTCAGGAGCGTTCCACTAAAGTACAAACTGACAGTAAAAAGCTTTAAGTGACGTATTGAGTAGACAGAAGTAGTCAAAAAGCAAAATTGGCCTTTTCGTTCAACTCGTTCATTTACTTTTTTTTCTGGAAGAATATCCCACGTTGACTGATGGGACCTTCTCAAATCATTGCAAATATTTGGATCCCTGTTTAAGTGTATATAGTTGTAACTGTTGGTTCATTATTCACAATCACCAGCTATTTGCAACTCTGTTTATGGTGTGGCAGATTGTAGCTATTGTCTCTTTCCTCTACCTTCCATTCCAGTCACCTATTCTTGGTCTTTCATCGCAGTGTAGTTTAGTCTGTTTTCTGATATCCCTTTTCCTCCATGTGTTTTCTGTCAAATAGTTTAGTTTTGCTAGTCTTATCCATCTATTTTTTAGTTTTAGATGGATGATTGGCTTTTTCTTACCTTCCATTCACTCTAGCTGGTTATATCTCTTGAATCAACACAGTAGAAGGTACACTTTGCAATCTCTTATAGCATTGCAAGTCTGTTAATCCATGTACATACTCCTGTTCTTTTACACCTACTGCTAGAGACACCTTTGGCAACAGACTCATTCCCTTGGGGTACAGTCAGATGTGACACCTCCATTGAGACATTACTTTTCAGTGGCATTATGTCAAATAATTTCCCTCTTTTCTCCTATTCTCAGTTACCTTGAATTTTGGCTTAGTACAGAGTTTAGTTCCCATTTTTTATCCCACCTTACACAATTCTGCAATTCTTCACATATATATTTTCCCATGATAGGAAAACACGGTCCTTATCACCTTCAGAATCAAAACTTGCATCGATATTTAAAAAATTTGGCTAGTTCAGCAAACTTGTCAAAAGTTCCTGCACTTGCTATACCACCACTATCTTTTAGTTAACTTTGGCCATTCTTTAGTGATGAAGAAACCCTACACTCTTCAGTTTTATGGTTATGCCACCATATTTGTCATCCTATGGTAATTGTATTTGCAGTGGTATGTCATCTTCCACTTTATTGATCACCATTTCTAGACTCTGTTTCTTTAGCCAATTTGAAACCAATTTTGAAGATTTATTTTCTTTCTCTACACCTACCTTCTCTTTGTCTTCTTTTTTGGATACTGGCCAAGTTCAGCTCATTGAATTGTTGAATTCTACTTACTGTTCCACAGTGACTAGCTCAACTCTATATCCATTATTACGTTGTAGACAAAGGGGTCTTCTTTCATTACCTGTTTGAAAACATCTACACAATCCCCAAACTTAATCTTCTACGATGATGTTCATTGTCTGTAGCTTCACATTTGGCTGTTTAACGATTCCTTATTAGAGAAGATGGATTCTGTTTTCAAACGAGATTGAGTGATATCACATCCTTGCAGACATTTCTCCCTAACTATCTGTTGCTATATTACACAAAAAGAATCTTTAAATGCAGCTCAAATTATGTTGTTTATATTTTATGATGAATCTCATTATATGGATTTTGCTCCATCCACATCAACAAACACCTCCTTAAGAGTGAATTTCAGGTTATATCTCATCAAATTCACCAGTTGGAAATGTCTAGCTTCCCTGTCTCAGTATCCTTTTGAGGACATTTCATAGCCACTATGTAGATGAATACAAATAGTTTCTTCCACTTTCACTTCATAACAATGCTGCCTCTTCAGCTTTGGAATTCCATTTACCATCTGTACTGTTTTCCAAAGCAAGTGGAATCCATAGCAGATGAGTTATTCTCTATTCAATACTTGTTTAATGCTTGAATAACATCTGTGTTGTGTATAGCGATCTAAGTATTTTCTATTCTGCCCAACACTCCTTTTTCTTATTTCATAGGTGTCTGGGATTGTGAAATTTATGGGGAAAACAACTAGAAATAAAACTGTACAGTCTCTTATTTGTTTTACGAGATTTTGTTAGGACTTTTGTATTCATTAACCTCTGTGCCGTTTTTTCTGAGGCTTCATGAAAAGGTAATGCCTTCTGGAAATGAACAGGGGTTGCCACCTGGTGGCTAATGATGTCTCTGTGAGTACATTTCCTACAACCACATGTATATATTTGCGTGGCATTTGGGATATGCAAGGCAAAATGCCTGTTTTCAATACCTGTGTTGGCTCCAACGAGGATGGAGATCATCTGTGTTGTTTATTACTAATTACTATTTTATTTATGTCTTTCCATTGCACTATTTCTCAAGTTGTTGGGCATCATCCATGGATCTTTATTTGGTTCTCCCTAAGTACTCACTATCACTAATTTGATAAATAAGGACTATAGCCCTTGGAGAATGCCCTCATAATGTTTGAGCAGACTCCTCCTCTGAGAACATTCCACTACAGGAACATCACATTGTGTTCTTTCTACCTCTTTATGTTGCCACCTCTGTTCCAATCACTGGCTTCACATATACTATTAACTCCCACTTCCCTAACTAGCCAATAGTTTTTTGTATGTATTGGAGGGTGTCAAGGGCAGGGGGATGCCTTGCTGAGAAGAATGTCTTATTTCTGGGTGTCCTGAGGGTCAGTCTTTTTACTCAACTTATTCTATCTCTTACATCGAATTCTTCAATTCCTTCTGATTCTGCTGTGTCTGCTTAACTACATCTTTTTTTTTGTAGTCTAGATTATATTCTTCTTGCTCTATAACTACATATTTATAATGTTTTCTTTATCATATTCTCTCACCAGTTTCCACTCCAGTTTTTATGTGGATAATGTGACCTAAAGTGTTTCTGATTTGAATTTTACATTTTTAGAATTAAAATGAATTTGAAACAAATATCTTCCTCTGAAATCTTTTAATAGCTGGGCTGTAGATAGCTCTCATCATTATTATACAGTACCAGGACAGAGGGCGCATTAGCGTAGGTGGAGAATATCACCAGATAAGTATCGCCAATGGCATTTAAGTGGGGTATGAAAAACTGGAGCAAGCAAGGCCGATGCTTAAATGGGCAAAGTTGATAATCAGAAGGTCGAGGAATAGCTGTCAGTGTCAGTAGAGATAATTGTGAATTTCAAATGCGTACTTATCTCTGAAATACTCTAGGCTTTCCTTACTAAGTATGCTCTGATCTGAAAGCATGCATTACTTACCCCAAATTCTCCATTATCCCACCCCACAACTTACAAGTGAGTCATTCTGAAGTTGTGTAAACACCTCATTCAGATAACGTAAAGCGTTTGGTCACGGTTTTCTCTGACACAGTGCTGTGCTTGGTTACGTTATTGACTGCAATTTCGACGTCGTCTTGTGGATTTCCGTACAATTATAATTTCCTAAGCAAAACAAACAAACAAAGAAACAAAACAAAAAAATTGATGTGCTGTTTTCAGGCATGAATTCCCTTATTACTATTGCCAGCACAGAGACTAGTCAGACCTCCCCTATTCCATCTCTGTTATCTAACATCTCTCAATAGTCGGGATGGGTGGGTCACTCTCAGTTGAGGCTGTCCATGTTTTGATTCGATGAGAGATGGAAACATATGTTCACACCGAGGGTTCTGAGGCTGCTTGGCTTGATGATCCAGGACATTCTGTGGATAATTTGGTTTATCCTTGTGACTCCTCCTTTTGGGTGGACTGGCGCAAATGACATCAGTGACTGTCATATGCCAATAAGTTTTATGGATGAGGTATTACATCATAACTGGAAGTCTGGACTTCTTTCACCACAGATTTATGGGTCCTTCAGGTTCTGGCATCGGGGTTGGTCATTCAGCTCACATCTCCACCTCCTTTATTCTCCCGACCTGTGGCGTTTCCGCCTCCAACAGATTCGCAGAGTGTGGTTTTTGTTCCATAGCTGAGAGGAACTTATTGATCCAGAGAGCAGTAGAGAGAGTTCATCCTATTCTTTCGAGATTTTATTCTTTTATCTTTGTTGTGTCCAAAAAGACGGGAGATTGGCGTCCAATCGTTGATCTTTCTTGTCTCAACCAATTCTTGGATCTTCACCATGGAGTCCTTTCTCAGCCATTTTTTCACCAGGTCTCTGGATGACAAAGTTCGATGTTGCAGACACATACCTTCACATTTCAGTAGCCAAGTAATCCCACTGACTTCTATGTTTTGTGCACAAGGGTCTGGTTCTGCAGCTCAGGACTCTGTCCTTTAGTCTAGCATATGTCACCTGCAATGTGGTACGAGCTTTTTCTCGTCACCTTCATTCTTTGGGCCTGTGCACACATCATTATATGGATGACTAGTTACTTCTAGCCCCATCTCGTCAGATGGCAGAACAGCACACCCAGATTCTCCTTTTGGAGGCCACCATGGCTGGGTTTCTTACCAGAACAGAGAAATCCATTATATTGCCAACTTAGTACCTTGTCCATCTGGGGGATCTTTTTCAACACATACTTGAGTCAGGCTCAGCCAACTCTTCTCTGGCTCTAGGCTATGGAGGGTGCAGTCAGACTCTTACTCACGTCTCCTTCTCGTACTACATGGATGGCTCTCTATCTTTTGGGATGTGGGCATTCATTGAATCCCTCGTTCCTTTGGGACAGACAAATATGTGGTCCTCTCAGTGGTCACTGTGTGACGAATGGAACACGAACTCCAATCCAGTGGATCATCCAATCTTCTTACTTAGGAGCAACATATTAGATCTCCAGTAATGGTTGTATCAGAACCACACTACCGTCAGTGTTCCTCTCCCACCCTCACGTCCCGAGATTCATTTTTATCATAGATGCCTCACTTCAGGAATGGAGGAGGGTGTATATCAATGGTCAGGAATTCCAGGGTCTATGGCCAAACAATGAATCTTCCCTCCACATCAACATCTTAGAGCTCCTTGCTGTTCAACAGGCAAATGTTCATGGTCTGCCTCTCTTTTAAAGGGAAAATAGTCATGATTTATTTTGAAAATTCCACAATGGTGTCTTACATTTCTCGTCAAGGGAGCACACGTTCGTGGGACCTTTGTTTTCAGACTTTGGATGTTCTCTACTGGGCTCAAACCCATCTTATCAGTCTTCTAGCTCGCCATGTTCTGGGAGTGATGAAATTAATAGCAGATCATCTGTCTCAGCCTAATTGCATTCTTCTGACCAAATGGATACTACATCACGAGCTCTTCCAGTAGATTTGCTCGTGGTTCGGGTGTCCAATGATCGACGCATTTCACACTCATTAGAACTCTCAATTATAAGCTTTTTGGCCTCCAGTGCCACATCCTAAGGCTTTGACAATAGTTACATTCAGTCAGGACTGGACAGGTTTGCACCTATATGCCTTTCCCAATTTGTCTGTTGCCCAGAGTTCTCGCTACGGTTCGATCCATTCCTTGTTGAGTGCTGTTGAGTACCATGTATTGGCCAGCCCAACCATGGTTTTCTCTTCTTCGGTATCTTCAAGAGAGTCCACCTTTACCATTTCTTCTTTGGTCATCTCTGTTGTAGCAACCTCAATCTGACATTCTACACTTGGAGATTCCGAAGCTCAAACTTCACGTTGTTATGCTCTGTTAGAGCCTTCAGGTGTTATGTGGCTCACAGTAGTTCCTTTCGTGGTGATAGAAATCGACTTTTTATTCATTGGGATCCTTTGGTTTCCTACGATTTATCCTCTATTACTTTGATGAAGTGGCTTCTCAAATTGATCCATATTGCTTATTTTGTCCTATATTTACAAGTGAGGAATATGCTGCAAGTTACATCTCATCAGATTCGTCATACTTATATCTTCTTAGCTGCCCATTTGAAGTGCCCACTGGAGGACATTGTGCAGGCTGATATGTATACTTCTCCTAATACTTTTCTCTCCCATTATTTATATGATCTGGTAGTTCCTACTTCTGAGAGTTTACCATACCATAACGTTTTGCGACAACATGGGACTTATTGGGCCATCTCGGCTGTTCCGTCCTCTAAATTAAATTAAAATAATTGTAAAAAAATCTTAAAGCCGGCTCTTATCATTCATATACTTATCAAGCTATTTCTTAAACTCATTTAAAATTTACTGTAGGCAACCCATTCCAAAGACCAACCACCCTGTTAGAAAAATAAAACTGTCTTTGCTGAAGATGACTCCTACCTTGACAAACTTTATATTTGTGTCCCATAATCATACTATTCTCATTGTTAAATATAAAAAAAGATAATACATCAACCCTATCAATTCCCTTTACAATATTAAAAACCTCAATCAGGTCCCCCTTAACTCTTCTTTTTTCAAGAGAAAACAACTTGAGAGATTTCAGCCTCTCCTCGTATGACAACCCCTCCATCCCAGGTAACATTCAAGTAACCCTTCTCTGAACCCTTTCCACAATTCAATGTCTTTCCTATGGTAAGAAGCCCAAGACTGAACTCAATATTACACATGTGGCCTAACCAGTGACCTCTACAATGATATTATAAATTTAAAATATTTTTAAAAATATAATATTATATATATATTGAAAAAAATATACATTTTCGCCTACCCTCGGTGGCTGTGTTAACCACATCTGATAGATTATAATAAATATTGAGTATTTTTTTCTCTTTCCTTCTGCTGGGGTGATGGACAAAGGTTTCCCTCCAGAGTGTTAAATTGAATTTCTACACTCTTGGAGAAAAAGGTGAAGTTGGGGGCTGTCCTACCCATGTTCCTGGATGTTTTTCATAGTTGTAGGTAAAAGCTGTACCAGCCTACATTGGAGCCTATTCGTAATCTAGTTGAGTCATATCTGGCCCTTCTTTTTCAGCAATTTATATTCAATTTATTATTCATGGAAAGATGTCCACTATCTCCTCATAATTCCGAATGTAGAATGGTCCTTCCTGTGTCGTTGGTTGAGCACAGCAATTTCATGTCCTCCCAATAATCCCAGGATAAAGTGGAATGCTCCTTGCCCACTCGGTTGGAGAGTGAGGATGCATGTTCATAATTTCAGACAAGATGAGTTCTGTTCCTTTGGTTGGTATGGCATATGTGATCCTATCATTCCAAGCATAGGGTATTGCCTTTCGAGCTTCTTCAGGTGGAGGAGAATGTTTGTACACTTCAGTGTTGCTTACTTTTTCATCGTAATTCCAGTGGTTCGGAATGCATCACTCTATTTCTACAAGTTGGAATTCATTCAATAATATTTTTTATCTAACATTGCAGTCCAATTGCTCTAGCCACCAACGTCGAATATAGGAACAATGGTCTGTTATTTCTAACCCCGATTAGAGTGGAACCACGGATATCTGGTTGGGGCTGGCCTATAGTGATGACCACTCATATACTATTCTACCCTTTCTTCTGCAACAAAGTTCCAGGTGACGAGCATACCTGTTCTGGATGTAAGGCGGCTCCCCCACTCATCTTATCTTGGTACACCCATGATCTATGCAGATGCTTTCTGTATGGATAATGTCCTCACCAGCTCCTCCACCTTCTCAATGTGGAATTATAGCTTTCAGTGTCAACAGAGGTAAGTGTGTTTTGGAAGTTAAAATTTTTCTAAATTGAAAATGTATTTCCAATAATACTTACCTCCGCTGACATTCTCCCGCCCTTCCTTCCCACTAAGAGCAGGTGTTAGTGACAGGAATGGTGTAAGTCTGGAAGAAGTGATAACATTATATGAGTGAGGTACTTATATACAGTATCAGGATAGAGGGCGCATTGACGTAGGTGGAGAATATCACGAGACAAATATTGTCAAGTGGGGTACAAAAGATTGGAGCAAGCGAGACCAATGCTTAGGTGGACAAAGTTGACAACCATAAGATCGAGAAATAATTGTCAGTGTCAGCGGAGGTAAGTATTATTGGAAATACATTTTCAATTTAGGAAAATGTTAACTTTTATGAAGTTTTTGCTTATTTGAATTGACAAAATTTTCCATTAACAAGCTTTTAATATTGTATATTCTACAGAGTTCATTTATATAATGAACTGTAATGTTTGCTAAACTTTTTGTTTTTTAGTGTATAGTTTGACTCTCGTTTTTTTTTATGGAAGGGTATATATTATTATAAATGAACAACACTAGTAACATGAAAATTTACATTGCCAATTATTTGGTAACCATAACTTCTGTGGTAATAGGTATATTTAATTCAATGAAACAGATATATAAAGATATTATGATAATCCTTTTTATTTTACACATATAACTGAATTTTTTACTTTAAAACTGTTCTTTTTGATGTAATATCCTTGTGAGCTGCACTTGTTGGAAGAAAACTTGTATTACGACAGCGGAAGTCACGTGACGCTGGAAGCATGCGCGCTGGAGTTTCTAGAAGGATCATGACTGTTCCTCGCAACTCTAGTCTTTTCTAGGCGCCCTCTATTTTAGTATATAAGCCGGCAGATAAATTGATAACGGGATAATCGAGTCAAGCCGTAAATAAAGTGTGTAAATCGTTGTGAATTATAACGTGTGTTTAAGTTAAAGTGACTGTGGAAATTAAGTGTAATGCAAAGTTGTATTGCGAAAGAATAAACTAGTTTTACTTAAGAAAGGACTTGTATCGCTGAAGTTCTTCGGAAAGATTTTTTACGGGAAATTAACAAACGACCAGAGACGTAACACTTGTAATTTTCGGAGAAGATTCTATTAATAACGGGTGTGAATGCTATATATCCTAATGTTCTTAGATTATCAGTTACTAGTAACTAATGTTATTTTAAAGTCTATTCTCAAGGTACATTATCTCCACATGCATGTGATGAGTCAAGTTGCTACCCAGCCACAGGGAACCTGCTGATTGGGAGGGCAGACCGACTAAAGGCTTCATCGACCTGTGGCTTGGACCATGAAGAACGTTATTGTATAGTTAGTCATCTTAAAGAGAAAAAGAAATGCTTTTACTGTGATAGTCGGCTTGAACGTCAAAACAATCCTCGTTTATATCATGGAATAGAGAATGTTGTTTCTAGGTAAACCCAAACTGGTTTACTTTTATATCATTTGATTTTATTTAAAGTTATAATTATTTGTTTTTATTTTCATTCTATAAAAACAAACCATGAACTAACCTAATAAAAGAAGTAAAAGTGAGAAAAATATACAATTGGTTTATAATGTTCTGTATTGAATTAACAAAAGTAATACACCATTTAAACCATAATAATTTATTATCAAAAACAGAGATATTACGTATTTTGGCCACATTTGTTTAGGCTATCTTCAGGCAAATAGTTTGCTCATTAAGTGGCAGTGATTCAATACATTTTTATTGGTTTATTTAAATACAGTTTCAATCTTATGATTTTTATTGCTCATTAAGTGACTGGTGCAATAAAGTTTCAATACCATGATTTTTACTGTTGATATATTTAACTATATAAAAACAGTGTTTGTGAGCATTCTACTTTTGTAACGTATTCTATTGTTGGGTGGATCCTTTCGAGTTATTTGGAGAAAATTATCTAAAGTTTATTTTTTCAGTAATTTTTGTTAAATTCACATTCACATGTAAGTTGTAGGTTTAATTGCATAAATAAAATTTTCAACATAAACTATAACTAAATGTAGGCCTAACTTCATATAAAACATTTCAACACAAATTCAGAGATATATCCCTGACTTAGCTACTTAGCTTTGATCGACAAACGAACACGTAACTCTCCAAGTGACTAAATACCAGAATAGAAATAATAAGTCATGCTACTAACACTAATCTGAATCACTAACTTAATACTCATTGAACTCAGTAACTTCTCATTAATTACATCACTTTGAAAGTAACAGTAACTCACTGGGTACTTGTATTTATAACTAATATACCCACGGCAAGATCTTGGTTGAATGTATTAGATGTCCTTTAACTAACATCTAAATTGAAATATAAAATTATGCTTAAAAACTATGCTGCTGAAGCTCATTCATGGTTTTCACAGCTTCCAACACCAGTAGTAGTAGTTTTTGATCATTTAGTGGTTTCTCTAAATACTTTACTCAGTCAACTTATGCAAGAAATGGGTCAGAAGTTGTGGTCACTAGGTTTGATCTTGGTTTCTTGCCAGAATGGAAAAACATCTAGCCATACATTTATGACTTTACGTATTTCATTTGGATATGAAAAATTTACAAAAGTTCTGTGTATCACCTGTGTCTATCAGGTTGAGAAATTTGTGTCACAATTCTTGGTTAGGCCTTTTCATCATAAACTTTTGAACATTATTTGGTAATGGAGAAATCAACAAATTTCTCGTTATGTTTTAGAAGTTAAGGTTACGTATTAACTAGCCAACATTTTGATAAACAGGATTAAACTTTACTGATATCATCTAGCTAAATAACAAAGTCCATGAAAGTAACTGGTCAGCACAAACTGTAAGTAGTAGTTGTTAACAAAGGAATTCTAGAAGATTTTTACCTAGAACAGTAGAAATGTTACTTGAATAAACTTCCACATTTATGATAGTTGTACCAGATCAGGAAGAAGCTCAGATTAGTCACGGCAGCCAAAGCAACACATTGTGATGATGACACATGCTTTTCAGCAAATTTGCTTTTAATGTTTTAATTTTTGGAGATAAACTTTTGTAAATTAAACTAAGCATTCACTTTTATACCTTTTTTTAACGTTCGAAACAAAAAAGCACGTTTTAGTTCAGTATACATGAAGCATGTTACATTATTCAAAGTCAGAAGAGCAACTATACTGTACGAAGAATATGTTATTCCATGTACAAGAAACAAAGAATCTGTTAAATATGTTCAGTAATCACGAAATATTTTCTTGCCGCGTATGTTATTATCAGTAATCAGAACATAGTAATTATTTCATTATGACTTCAACAGAATAGGGAAAGAATGGACAGGATGGTGGCAAGCTGAAAATGGAGTACAGAATGTTACAATTCAGCTCGATCTGGAGGCAGAATTTCACTTTACCCATATTATCATGACTTTTAAGACATTTCGACCAGCTGCAATGCTTATCGAGAAGTCACATGACTTTGGTCGAACATGGAATGTGAGTTGTTTCCAAATCATGAATTTCTTGTAATGGCATTGAACAGGTTATGCAAATATATATAGTCAGAAATATTCAAGATGCCTTTATCTATGTTGCATAATAGGTTCTTGTAAATGTTTAATATAATAAATTATACAGTTCACTATATAATGTGTTAGTGTGTTCTATAATGATGTAAGTTCCCAGTATATTAAGTTAAACATTTCACTGTGTTAGTCTGTGCATAAGGTATTAGTGTATACTGTAATAGTGTAGGTCCCCATTATATTAAGTTACGTATTTCACTGTGTACTATAATGATGTAGGTCCTCAGTATACTAAGTTATATATTTCACTGTGTATAATGTATATGTATTGTAATGATTTAGGTCCCCATTATATTAAGTTACACATTTCATTGTGTATAAACATACTTGCCCCTGCTGCCACTTATAGCTATTACTTAACCACCAGGATTTCTTCTTTGCCTGTCTAAGCATTAGTCTGATGTTTTCTCACTTGCTCCAGTATTTTATACCCACTCTATTACTTTTGGTGATAATTCTCTTGTGATACTCTCCACCTATGTCAAAGCTTCCTCTGTCCTGGTACTGTATATATGCACCTCATTTGGATAATTGTATCACTTTTTCTCGACAAAGCGTCACTGATGGGTTCCCAGTATTATGATCGTTCGGAGATACTTTGAACATTATCATGTTATCTAGTTGATTTCGTAACAATAATAAACATGTTTTCTTCCTATTGCCAAGCCAATTATAGTATGAATTCCCGAATTATTATTTCTGGCACAGAAGCCAATTGTGTGTCCCCCTCCCACCACTTATATCTATCTATCACTATCAGTTGAGACTGACATTCATCTTATTTTTAGTGACGTGGAAACGGATCTGTAGTGATCCTACAGGGGCTCTGTGCCTGCATTTGAAGGCGATACTCGACATTTTGGAGAGACTTTAGATTCGCTTTTTCCTATGCTCTCTTTTAGTCTGTTGGATTTTCATCCACCCTGTGGATTAGTGGTAAGTCGAACTCCGGACTCCAGTGTTGCGAGTGTGGACTACCACACTAATCTTATTTCTTAGGGTGGATGTACTTTACCTCACAAAATTATATTCCAATCAATGATAATCACTACAGTCGTTAAATTATCTATGAAAAACGAAAAGGAGACCACTGTGGGGTAAGCTGCCTTTGATTTGTTTTTCTTCTCTTGATTCTTCGAGTGTGTGATGTTTTCAGCTTTTTCCCAGTTGCTTTTGAGTGTGCAACTTACTTGATGGTTGAAAAGTCTGGGAGCGAATTTTAGTGTTTTTTCTCCATCCATGGAGATTGTGGTTCGTGCGGGAAGGTTTACTTCTTAGTTACTTGAAGAGACAGTTAAGCCTTATCCGACACGTTGTCAGAACTTCGTGGTTTCACCCTCCACCACTAGATGGAGGCATTTTTTTTCGACTCTGAAATTAAGTACATCTGCTTCTCGAATTTCGGGCTTCTCAGGCGGAGTTTATAGTTCACCTATATAGGCCTATGTCCCCTAATGGGACAGAGTAAGTCTACAGACTTGCAACTCAACTTCAATATTTTGTTTTCTTGAACTTCAATTTGTTAGAAGACTCTCAAGATCACCAGCTTGATTGAGGACAAGCTGGATCCATTGTTAGCATGGATGTTGGTTCAAATTTCGGCTTCTACATTCCTTCCTGTTGTTGTTGGAGTGTCAAGTTTCATTGGCTCACACAGGGGGATCATAGTTCCGCTTCTATTCGTGAGTACCGACCCCCGACGTCAGCTCCTCGGTACATTGGTACTCAGAATAGATTCTGTCTATATCCAAGGTTCCACTGCTTAGTTAGATGAACAGCAACACCAGTGATTATTGTATACCTTCAGGAGTTGTGAGGAGTCGGTTCCAAGAAATTCTAGATGTGTGGTAATCTTAACCATAGGCCCAGAAGCTCTGCAGGTCCCTAGGTTACAATTGATCATTCAGTTCACATCTCTCCCACTGTTATCCACCCAACTTGTAGGGTTTTCTACAATTCATCAGGATTTTGGAACTTAGTTCTTGGGTTATCTGAATTTGGTTGGTCTGGAGGTAGTGAGAAAGTCGGGTTAGTTCTTCAGAGTTTTTATTTCTGTTAGTTATTGGGCCTATGAAGACAGGAGATTGGTTTCCAGTCATCGATCTTCCATGTGTTTATCAATGCCCAGATTCTCCAAGGTTAAGAAGCTACTCATTCTTCAATCTGTGTTGAGTTTTTACTGGGATTGTAGATGTCCAACTTGGTTGTAGTTGACTCCAATCTGCACTTTGCTTTAGCAGTGAAGTCCCACCACTATTGGCGTTTATGGTGAATAAGGGTTAGGTACTGCAGTTCAGGTTTTTTTATGACTCGAATAGGCTCAACTTGGGTTCTGCCATATTATACAGATTTTCTTATCTCCTTCATTACATCATACTGTGCACACATCATTCCACAGATGTCTGGTTAGACCATCACATCCGGCTTCTACTTTCAGATACAACCCAGGCAGGCTTCTCTTTTGGGACTGCGACATCTATTCTTGCTCCAATTCAATATGTCATCAGTCTGAGTATTTTTTTATTTTTCATCTCATCTCTCAGTCTGGATCAGCTGTCTCCAGTCCTGCTCAACACTATAGAATAGGATGCCACACTCTTACTCACCTCTCCCTCTCTGACTGCATGGATAGTTCTTTTTCTTCTGGGAAAGTGGGCATCACTCGAATCCTTAGTGTCTTTGGGAAAGAACACAAGCAATCCTTTTATTGGTCTTTAAGTGATCAGAGATCATACACATCTATTTCCTAGTTTCCCCAGTTTCCTTAGTCAGGATCATTCTTCGATCCTGAGGGATTGTTATGTTGGGACACTACTATGATTTGGGTTTCTATACTGCCACCTCGTCCAGAGTTCCATTCTCTTCACGAATGCCTTGCTTCAGGAATGGAGTCAGGAATTCCAGAGTCTATGCACGGATGACAAGGATCCCCTATACATCCCCCTCTTGCTCTTCAACAGGCAAAACCTCATGGTCTGGGTTTCTTAAGGAGTAAATCGTCAGGTTTCACTCTGACTATTCTGTGGTGGTTTCTTATGTTTCATCAAGGAGGTATTTGGTCTAAGGATTCCTATTTTAGAATTTTGGACCTTTTTTCTCGGAAGTAACCTTATCTTCTTACCCTTTTAGATTGCCATGTTCCACGGGTGATGCCTGTGTTAACAGGTCCATTGTCTTAATCCAAACAGAATATTCTGACAGAATGCTTTCCATCTAGACAGGTCGGGATTGCCATTCTCAACCTTCTTTCATATGTTACCCAGGATACGAAACATGATTTGTTTCAATCCATTGTCAGATCTTGTTGATTTCACCAAATTGGTGGCTGTACCAGGGTTTCTGCTTCTGTGTGTCCAACTCTGCCATTTCTTCTTAGGATTTCTCTGTGGAAGCAGCCATGATTGGATATGGTACACCCGACTATCCAGAGCTCAAGTTTCTGACATAGAGGTTATGCTGTCTTTCACATGACATTGGTGTTTAAATTCTAAGGTTGACATGTGCCTGTCTCAGTTTCTGCTTAGTCCGAAAGATACTTCTCAACAGTAACGACATGCATATTGGCAATGTTGTTTTGGGAGGAGGTTAAACCCTTTTCAATCATTGGTGTCATCCATATCTCATTTTTTTTGCTTAGCTCTTTCACAGAGGTTTTTGCATCTTCCACAATCACCATTGTTTATGGTGGCCTTATCAACTACTGTTTGATTATTGCAACTACAATTTTTTTTTGTTCCCAGTACTCTCCAAGTTCCTCATATTGTTTTGGGTAATTAGTCTTAAATGAACATTCCACTTGTGCAACAGGTAGATTGAGGTTATGTGTTCTTTCTTTACACCTGTTTATGACCTGACTCTTATATTCCAAGTATCCTCTTTACCTACAGGTTTATTTTTCGTGACTGCTGACCTATGGACATCACCAGTCAGAATAATTTGCACTGTTTGTTCACAGACCGCTTTCTCATTCTCTCTACATCCTCAGACCAGTTTTTCTTACACAACATTCTGTCAGATGGAAAAGGGGTCCACCCCATTTTTCTGATTCATCTACTCACTCTTTCTCTCTATGTACAATCAGATTTCGATCCTGGTTATGTTCAGTGAGGGTCTTGACGGTTTTGTTGCTTGCACTTATACATTTAGAGATATTAGACAACATTTTATTCTGGGCCCTCTTTGAAAGCGAGATATCTTCTGTGCATCACATCTAATCAGATTCCTCTTTTCTTTGTCTTTAGCAGTCCGATCAAATTGCCCACTGAATGTCATTAGGCGGACTGGTAAGTGGACCTCCCCCAATACCTTTATCTCACATTATTTGTTTGATCTGGCAGTTTCTTCATCTGAGGGTTTTTGCCAACCCCTCGTAGCTATATTAACTATTTATACTAGATTATCCAGAGGGTTGAGTATTTTTGTTTCTACTTTTCAGGATCCTTTACCATATTTTCACAGGATCACACTCTGTGGCAAGTGTTGCGCAGACAGGCATACTTTTATCAATCCAATTCTGCACTAACAGCCACTACTTCACTATAATTAATACTGGTTGTAACAGGTTCTGTAGAAATGAGGTGTTCCATAAGACCACCTAGGAGCTTGCCAGGTGGTATTACTATATTATACCACTAAGTGGACTGCCACTCATGAACTATCATGAGAAAAGTTAAAGGGGATCCTGTCTGTCACTGCTGATCATCAGATTGAATAAATCGTGGTTGGTTTGCTTTTAAAAAGTTAGGGAACTTGGTTCACCTATTGCACTGTTTCCAGAGCACTGTTCCTCAGGACTCCCCAATGTGCATTACCCCAGATTCTACTAGTGAAGCTAGAGAGTCCTTACCACACCTGGTTTCCAGTCACTGGGGGTGGTAGACAGATGTTTTTCCTCCAGAGTGTTAGAGTGAATTCCTCCACTCTTGGGGAAGAGGGCAAAGTTGGGAGGCCATCCTATACACGTCCCTGGATGTTTTCCCCAGATGTAGGTAGAAGCAGCACCAACCTACTTGGTAGCCTACTCTAAATACTGGTTCAGATTTGATGCTCGTTTATCAGGTTGGGGGTCTGCATGGCTCTTCTTTTTGATCAATATTCTACCAGTATATTGTTCAAGGAAGGAGGTCGAATATCTCCTCGTAATTCCGAACACAGAATAGTCCCATCCTGGATCCTTGGCTGAGCACAGTTGTTCCACGTCCTCCCCATAATTCTGGGGGACAAGTGGAAGAGGATGAATGTTCATAATTCCAGACCATATGGGTTCTGTTTCTTTGGTTGAGTAAGGCATACGTGATCCCGTCATTCCGAGCCTGGGATGTTGCCTTTTGGGCTTCTTCAAGTGGTGGAGAAAGTTTGTCCACTTCAGTGCTGCTTACTACGTTGTCGTGATTCGAGTGGTTTATAATGCATCACTTTATAGCTACAGGTTGGGATACAATCAAAAATATATCTATATATAAAACATTGAAATCCAATTGCCCTAGCCACCAACGTGGGATATCGGGACTAAGACTCCTTAATTCCAACACCAAGTAGTGTGACCTCAACTATCTAGTTGGGGCTGGCCTATACTGATAATCACCTATGTGCAATTCCATCCTTGATACAGCAATTTAATTCAGGGTGAAGAGCACACCTGTTCTGGATGTAGTGTGGTTCCCCCACTCAGTTACCACTCTTATCTTGGTACACCTATGATCTATATAGACACTTTCTATATGGATAATGTCCTCACTGGCCTCTCCACCTTCTCAATGTGGGATTCTATCTATAAGTGGCAGAAGACATAAGTATGTTTTGAAAGTTAACATTTTCCTAGATTGAAAATGTATTTCCAATAATACTTACTTTTGCTGACACTCTTCCGCCCGTCCTCCCAACTAAGAACCGGTGTTAGAGACTGGGATGGTATCAGTCTTGAAAAAGTGATAAGATTATCAGAATGAGATGCTTCTATACATTACCAGGATAAAGGGCGCATTGATGTAGGTGGAGAGTATCGGCAAGGACAATTGAATGAAGTAAAAAAGCGAGAAAAAATCATACCAATGCTTAGATGGGCAAAGAAGAAACCTTGGCAGTCGGGTAATAGCTGTAGTGTGACCGGAAGTAAGTATTATTGGAAATACATTTGCAATTTAGGAAAACGTTAACTTTCATTGTATACAAAGTGTCAGTGTGTAATGTAATGATGTAGGTCTCTGTTTGTTCACTTTTGTGTAGTTTGTGTACTTTTACCGTTAAGATGAGTTTATTAAACGTAAGGGTTTGTTTATAGAAAAAAATTTAACTTTGAAGCAATATTTAATAACCTGAAATCATGTGTCACTGAAACTTCATATTTACATACATTTATTATGAATAACAATGTTTTAGTTGCTTGTTGTTCTGTTATAAATAGACGTACCAGTACTGTGTACAAACATTTTAGTTAATCATTGTTTTCCTGTTAATAGATGTACCAGTATTGTGTAATATATATACAACAAAATATTTGCTGCTAATTTCTTTTTTTTTCTGTTGATAGATGTAGTTATATTTTATATTGTACATGTAACAACAATTTTCCTGCTAGTTTCTTTTACCATTAATAGGTGTTCTAGTATTCTTTAATATACATGTAACTACATTCTGCTGTTGTTTTCTTTTCTGTTAATAGGTGTACCAGTATTTTGCCTACAATTGTCACGAAGCGTTCCCAGGTGTTCCAACACAGCTAAGATGGAGGATTACTGATGTTATATGTGATTCATATTATTCTCGTGTAGAGCCCTCTTCAGGAGGAGAGGTATGCAGGAGACATTTTGAATCTATGGTTTTTGTCTTGAGGAAAAGGTGCATTAAATGTAATTGGGGGGGGGGGTGAAATGTGGTTTTCAGAAAAAATACATTAGCAAAAAGTTTTTCCTTTTAAAGTTAAGTTTTGTGTGCATAATACAAAACTAATAATACAAAACAATATGTATAACAATAAAAAATAAGATAAAAAATTAATAACATTTCATATATTTTACAGTTTAACTAATACTGTTAGTGGAAGTAACAGTAAATCATTTTTTTTATGATGAAACTTGTGAAGTCTTTGCATCTTACTGATCATTCAACACTTAAGTAAAACAAGTGGTTGTGATTTAAAACGCATGAAAAATGTTTGTATCACTGGAATAAGCTCATTCTACAAAAGTTAATGGTGTCCACTAGGTACAGTTATATTGTAATATTGTTTGTAACTTGAGTAATTCTTTTTAATTTCTTTAAAAAAGAACTTGTGGGTACTAAACAGAAGTAACCAGCTTTTAGACATTTAGCATTAAAATGCATGTTTGGCTGGAATTCAATTTCTCCCTCTCTTTCTCCACTGAAGGTAATTTTCAGAGTTCTTCCTCCTCATATCCATGTTGATGACCCTTACAGTCCTGCAGTTCAGAACTTGTTGAAGATGACCAATCTGCGAATTAATTTCACACAACTTCACACCCTTGGAGACAATCTTCTTGACTCTCGAGAAGAGAACAAAGAGAAATACTACTATGCTATTTACAATATGGTTGTCAGGGGGAGCTGTTCATGCTATGGTCATGCTAGTCGTTGCATATCAGAAGATGAACGGATATCAAGGCCTGACATGGTAAGATATGTAATAAAAGTAAACTTCATGCAGAAGATGAATGGATATCAAGGCCTGACATGGTAAGATATGTAATAAAAGTAAACTTCGTACAGAAGATGAATGGATATCAAGACCTGACATGGTAAGATATGTAATAAAAGTAAACTTCATGCAGAAGATGAATGGATATCAAGGCCTGACATGGTAAGATATGTAATAAAAGTAAACTTCATGCAGAAGATGAATGGATAT